TCGGTGATTATCTTAGATCCGCCCTACTTTAATACACTTAGACGATCAATGAGTGTGTTTCCTTGTTCTTTTTAGTTTCCCCTACTCCTCCCCGCCCTCCGACGTCTACTCCGCTTCCGGAACCGGAATCCACCGGGCGTCTCTCTCCCCCCGCCGCCGGGCTGACCCACGGGTTTTTACCTCCCTACTCTCATCTCATCTCGCTGCGTACCCTGGCTAGCATCTACTGCCATCACCGTCCACTTTGAACGCCACTCTCCCGTCTGTGAACCGTTTTAAGGCAGCCACCCCCCAATCTACGGGCAGGCCGTGCGTGGGTTTGTAAGGCTTCTTGGTGCACACCTGGCATGCTGTGGCTGGATGTGTGAACGTTAGCGCAAAGGGCCGAAGTTATTCTGCTATCACAGAGTGTTATTACCTGGAAAAAATAGCATCTCAACTTCAGTATTTGCCGTTTCTGCTGCCCCGTTGTCATTGCCTTCGTTTTATCAGTAGCGGCATAGGGGCCCCGCCCGCTCACTCTAGAGTATGTCTGGCTCTCTCGATGAGAAAAGCAAAAGGCCTCCTCACGAGGTGGCCGATCCGGACATCACCGACGAAACCGGCGAGAAGGCTGTATCCGTACCCGAGAATGAGCCCGACATTGATGCCGCCCCTAGGTCTGAGAAGGCAGTGGAGGAAGAGGGAAGGAAGGAAGAGGACGTCGAGGCCGAGCATGACCTCAGTGAGGCGGACTCCCACTCGCATCACTCGGGCCAGTCGGACGAGGAGCCCATCTCGCGGACCTCGACGGCGCAGTCGAGGGCGCTCTCCATCGTCCCGAGGTCGAGACGGAGGGGGCTGTTCGCGCGGCTAGCCGTCGTGCCCGAGGTTGACCGGCCGTATGACTACAAGAACAGCACAAAGTGGATTATCACCCTCGTTATTGCTCTAGCTGGCGCCGCGGCCCCTTTCGGGTCCAGTATCTTCTACCGTATGCCAACCCTCCCTCTCCCTTGACCAGTTTAACACATTCGGCGAGCTAACACGGATACATCAGCCGCTCTCACCCAGCTGACGGAGGACCTTAATACAACGCCTGCCATTACCAACTTGTCCATTGCCATGTACATGCTCTGTAAGTAACTTATCACATCCCGAGACAACATCGCCTAACTCCTGTTTCCACGGCGGGCGGCGAAGTGGAACATCTCCTTTTTACTAACCGAGACAAGCCATGTCTATATTCCCCCTCTGGTGGGCCACGTGCAGCCAGGAATTCGGCCGCCGGACAATCTACATCATCAGCTTCACCCTCTTCGTCGTCTTCTCCGTCCTGAGCGCCGTCTCCACCTCGATATCCATGCTCATCGTCATGCGCCTCCTCGGCGGCGGCGCCTCGGCCTCCGTCCAGGCCGTGGGCGCCGGCACCATCTCCGACATCTGGGAGGTCCACGAGCGCGGGCGCGCCATGGGCTTCTTCTACCTCGGCCCGCTCCTCGGCCCGCTCCTGGCCCCCTTCATAGGCGGCGCGCTGGCCCAGGGCTTCGGGTGGCGCTCGACCATGTGGCTCCTGGCCGCCTACGGCGGCGTCATGGTCGTGGCCATCGTCTTCGTCCTCCCCGAGACGCTCGCGAACAGGGACGGGCCCGCGGCTCGCGCGGCGCGGCGCCTCGGCCGCACCGCCACGTCCGCATCGGCAGCGTCGTCACTCAGCGTGCGCGCCCGGGACTCGGCGGCCTTCGTGCGCCGCATCGTCCTCAGCCCCCTGGGCGTGATCGCCATGCTCCGCTTCCCCGCCGTCCTCCTGACGGTGTTCTGGGCCTCCATCACCTTCGGGTCCCTCTACGTGCTGAACATATCCCTGCAGGCCGGGTACTCGAACCCGCCGTACTCGTTCTCCATCATCGTCGTCGGCGTCTTCTACATACCTCCCTCGCTCGGCTACGGCCTCTCGTCGGCCTTCGGCGGGCGGTGGATCGACCGAATCATGATCCGGCAGGCCGAGAAGGCGGGGCGGTACGACGAGTCGGGGAAGCTTGTGTTCCTCCCCGAGGACAGGTTCGCCGAGAACGCCTGGATCGCGGGCACGGTGTATCCCCTCGCCCTCATATTCTACGGGTGGACGATACAGAAGGGCCTGCACTGGGCCGTTCCAGCCGTGGGGACCTTTCTCTTCGGCCTCGCTTCGATGCTTGTCTTCGTGAGTAGTCCGCCCCCCCTTTAACCCACACCTCCTTTCGATTCTCCTTTCCCTTCTTATTTTACAACTTTGAGCCTACTTAGTAGGAGGGGAGTGGTTCGTAAGGGGCATAGCATCTTGGCTTTCTTCGAGATTACTTGGTAGGAAGGGGGGTTGATTCTTTAAAGAGCGCAACGCTAACCAGAAAAACAAAATAGTCCCTCTCCACGACCGCCCTGACGGAGTTCATGCCCGGCCGCGGCGCCGAGGGCGTGGCCGTCAACAACTTCGTGCGCAACATCTTCAGCTGCATCGGCGCCATCGTCGCCGAGCCCATCATCAGCGCTCTGGGCCACGGCTGGACCTTTACCATCCTGGGCCTCGCGACCCTCGTCCTGAGCCTGCTCACCGTGTGCATGGTGAAGATGTTTGGTAAGCGGTGGAGGAAGTCCATGGACGAGGCGCTGAGCAGGAATGTGCAGCGCTAGCCTGGCCCTCTTCTCTTTCTTTTCTTTCCTTTTTTATGTCTTTTCTTTGCGTTAGAACAGCCTAGAGATGTGGTGGGTGTTGCGGATGAGTAGACGAGATACCATGGCATTCAGTTTCTCCTTTCTTCCTCTCTTCCTTTTTTCCTTTAGTCTTTAATTTTCGTTTTGGATCTCTTGAGCAATAATGATGTATATAGAGTGCACGTAATATTGGATATATATCGTATAATAGCGTAAATCCCCGGTCCCCCTTTTCCCAACTATCCACCCCCTTACCCCTTTCACGCCTTCCCGAGCTCCAGCAGCCCAGGCAGCGCGTCAAGGTTCACATTTCCCCCCGTGAAGACAACCCCGATGTCCCACCCCTCCTCCCCGCCCTCCTCCTCCACCAAGCGCCTGAACTCCTCGTTGAACAGCACGACGGCGAGTCCGACGACGGCGCTGGGCTCCACCACGACCTTCATCCTCTCCAGCACGAGCCTCAGCGCGCGGGATATTTCCTCCTCAGACACGGCGTAGGCGCCCCTCAGGAGGCCGCGGTCGTGGAGGATGGACCACGGGTGCGCACCCACGGGAGTGCGCAGGCCGTCGGCGATGCTGAGGGACGAGACGGCGGTGATGCGGGAGTGCGCCGCCAGGCCGCGGCGGAGGTCGTCGGCGCCTTGGTGGGTCGGCTCCGCGGCGAAGACGGAGATGCCCGTCCCTTCGCACTGCGGGGTGTGCGTGTGTGTTAGTTTCGAATATTGGGTGAGAGACGCTATGGATATATGAGGGGTGCGGGGGTGGCGGGAAGTGGACATACGGAGAGGGCAACGCCGGAGTTCAGTCCGCCACCGCCACAGGGGGTGATGATTGCGTTAAGGCCCTTCTTGGAAGACGACTCGGACGCCATCTCCTCAGCTACCTGCTCCTGGAGCTCGAGGCCCGTGGTTCCTGTAATCGGTGTAAGTGGGCGCGCTTCTCGTTCACCTTCCCCTCAGCCTTACATCGACTCTCATAGATGCAAGTCACCGTCATACAGATATACGCTGGGGCAGAAGAGAGTGTCAGAGGAGGGAGGCTACTTTACCTTGTCCCAGGATGACGTCCGGGTGGTCGTAAGGCGGCACCATCCTGGCCCCCGTCTCCTTCATGACCCTGTCGGCCTCGGCCTCCCTCTCCGGGGCCGTGCTCCCGCTGAAGTACACGGTGGCGCCGTACCCCTTTGTCCCGGCGATCTTGTTGGGCATCGCGATGGAGGGCATGATGATGTGGGCGGGTATGCCGTTGTCGCGGGCCGCCAGCGCGACGGCCTGGGCGTGGTTTCCTATCATCCCGGTCAGAGTATGGCTTCCCTGGCTCCAACCCCCCACTTTCTTCTGTTGACCGTTGGCCTTCGGCCTTCAACTCTCTTCAACCCATCTAACCCCTCTCCTCGTCTACTTCAACCACCCAACCCCAGAAAGGAAATGGATACGAAACCCACCAGAGCTATGAGTGATAACCGGCCCCGTCCACCCACTCTCCACCAACCTCCCAACAGCGTGAAACGCGCCCCTGGCCTTGAACGCCCCGACCCTCTGCAGGTTCTCGCACTTGAACCAGAGCCTAATCTTGGGTCTCGCGCCCCTCCCCCCACCCTCCCCGGCCCCGGGCCTCTCCGTCGACGCGATCTCGTCGAGGGTCTTGCACCGGAAGACGGGCGTGCGGTGCACGTGGGGCGCAATGAGCTTGTGGGCCTCCTGCACCGAGGCGCGCGTGAGAGGCAGGCCGGAGAATGACTTGTCCATTGCTACTAGTATTGAACTCGGCAATAATAGAAAAGGAGTAGGAAGAAAGTATGAGATTGTAAATCGTGATGAGTTACTGTATAAAACTAAAAGGACCCGAAGAAAGCGTGAGAGAGAAGCAAGAAGAAAAAAGGAGGATGGAAAAGATATCTTAGATTTATAGATATCTGGGGCCTACTGCTCAGTACGTGGCGGGGTAACACAATCACGGAAGGAGCTCCACTTCGCCGAAGCCGTTTTCGTCTCGATTTGGCAAGACAACGGACGACCAAGAGACAAGAACCAAACCGGACTCGGGGAGCGTTCGAAAGAATTGCTCCGAGCCCCTCACCCGTCTTACCCGAAAGACTACCTAATACCTCCCGAGATAAAGAAGGGAGGAGAAAGAAGTGAAAAACCAAAAGATCTTTGGCTTGGACCGCTTCCTCTCCCCACTTCGCCGAAGCCTTTGTGTCTTGATTTGGAGCTTGGCGTTGTAGGGATGCTCCGAGCCCCTCGCTCGTCTTACTTATCCGATAATAGGCGTCTACCACAAGCACCCGAGCAATACGAGGACAAAAGGAAAAGAGGAAAAAAAGAAAGTGCACCAACCGAGACTCGAACTCGGATCACATGCTTGGGAAGCATGTATTCTACCCCTGAACCATTGGTGCTTAACGTCACTTGTTGTTCTGTATGCTTATGTGACTGGGCTGCCACAACTATATCTCGCACACAATCACGCGGCGAAAAAATCTACCCACCATCCATTGCCACTTCACCCCATTGAGCTTTCAGGTATTCTTCCGGGTGACCAGGACAGTAGGCACAGGATACAGGACACAGGATGCGAGGAGTTAAGAGTAACCAGTTTGGCGTTCACATTGCGTTGCACAATCTACTCCCATTCCGTGAAATCTTTACACCAGTAGAAAAACGACCATATAATTTTGCAAGGTATATCAAACCGAACCAATTTTTGACCTAGCACACGTACAGAACAGTCCAGCGCCGCAAGCATTCACCAATACACTAGTCACCTCCCACACACCCCGCCCGCCCCATCATGCTCTCTCTCTCCCCAGACCCAGAAGAGCTTACTTCTGGTTCTCGGGACGGAGAGACCTGACGGCCTTACCCGCCCTCCAGATCTCCATGTTGCGGATCTCCTCCATCTCGGCCTCGAACTTCTGCCTGTAGTCCTTCTGGCCGTTGTAGTCGAGACTCCTCTGGGTCTCGGTACCGTCCTCGACGGCGTTGTACAGGTCGTTGAAGACGGGCTTCAGGGCATCCTTGAAGCGGGGGGTCCAGTCGATGGCACCACGGCGGGCGGTGGTCGAGCACGCCTCGTACATCCAGTCCATGCCGTTGGCACCGATCAGGGGGTACAGGCTCTGAGTGGCCTCCTCAACGGTCTCGTTGAACGCCTCGCTGGGGGAGTGGCCGCGCTCGCGGAGAACCTCGTACTGAGCGAGGAACATGCCGTGGATCCCGCCCATCAGGCAACCGCGCTCTCCGTAGAGATCAGAGATGACCTCCTTCTCGAAGGTGGTCTTGTAGAGGTAACCGCTGCCAATGGCAACACCGAGGGCGATGGCCCTCTCCTCGGCCTTGCCGGTGACGTCCTGGTACACGGCAAACGAGGAGTTGATGCCGCGGCCCTCGCGGAAGAGGGAGCGGACGGTGCGGCCAGAGCCCTTGGGGGCAACGAGGATGACATCGACGTCCTTGGGGACCTCGACGTGCGTGCGCTCCTTGAAGACGGGGGAGAAGCCGTGCGAGAAGTAGAGGGTCTACCACCAGTCAGTCAGCGTCCTGCTCCACTTCGGCCTCCTAGGTCTGCAGGGAAGGGAAGAAGGGGGGGGAGGGACACGATGTCATCATACCTTGCCCTTGGTGATCTGGGGCTTAATGTGGGGCCAAGTCTCGGACTGAGCGGCATCGGAGAGGAGGTTCATGATGACGGTACCCCTGGAGATAGCCTCGTCGACCTCGAACAGGTTCTTGCCGGGGACCCAGCCGTCCTGGATGGCGTCCTTCCACGACTGACCCGACTTCCTGACACCGACGATGACATTGAGGCCGTTGTCACGGAGGTTGAGACCCTGGCCGTGACCCTGGGATCCGTAGCCGATGAGGGCGAAGGTGTCGTCCTTGAAGTACTCCTGTCTATGGTATCAGTATATGGCCATTGGGGTTCAAGGCAGTGCCGGGGGAATCGGCGTGGCGAATCCATTGGTGACTCACAAGGAGCTTCTCCTGAGGCCAGTCGGCACGCTCTATTCCGTCACAATACCGTTAGCTGAAAGGTGTCCTGAACAAGCTCAATTGAGATTTGGGGGGAAAATGAAGCCATACCGTAGACGTCCTCCTTCGAGCCGGCAAAGTCCATCGTCTTCACGCCACGAACCTGCTGGGCAGGCCCGAGGACGGCAGGACGAGCTTGCCTCGCCAAGCTCCGGCTGGCGGTGGCAATGGTCCTCTGCTGGACGGCGGGCACCTGGCGCGCCAATTGGGAGCGAAGAGCTCGGGTGAAGCTGCGGGAGGCCATTGTGATGGATGTGGATGTGGGAAAGGAGAGGAGAGGTGTCTTGTGTGATGGCTGGTGACTCGGTTGGGGGGGGGGGGGGTTTTGAAAAGGAATGGGAGAGAGAAAAAAAGAAGGAAGTGCTGAACCTTAAAGCGGTGGACGGGGAAATAGGTGATGGTTGGTACGTGCACACCTGGAGCGATACCGCTAACCTGGCTCTTTCCCTTCCCCGGCCGAAATTTTTCACCCCGATTTCGGGGGGCGAGCCATGAGCAATTGGCGCAATTGGCGGTGGGCCCTCCGTCGGACGGAGCAACCAATTAGCGTGCGGGTCTTGGGCTATTACCCGCGGCCCGGATTGGCCAGAGAAACTCTGGAGTCATGGTGGGGTACATTATTTGTTACTATACCTATTGTGCCTCACCTGTAAGGTACGAGGATGGGGTACTCGTACTTGTGGTCATACCTAGTTAGGTAATCCCGGCTCAATACCCATGGTAAAGCCCCCACTACACTACTGGACAAGCATCGCGGCCTCTTTGCGGTCAGCGAACATCGCTAGTGACTCAGACGAACATCGTATCCATCTGTTCAATGAGGAGTCATTTGGGTGTATGTTCGATTCGGAGTCATCGGTGGTGTATGTTCAATTCTGGATAGCCGGGCTCTCTCTATACACGGCCGGGAACGGAGAAAAAAAAGATAGCCCTCCCCTTTTTTGCCTCTTGCTCGATGCGTCCAAATCCCGTCTGTATAACCTTGTCCGCCGTCTATAAACCATGGCCGCGATCGCGATGTTTATCGCGCCCACGACCCCCCACTCCGTGCTATGCGCTCAAGCCTCGGCATTGTCCTGGATATCCGCAAAAGAAGTAAAAAAGAAACGTAAAAAAAAAAAAAGAGAAAAAGATGCGGTTGTAGAAACGTAGAGTATGAGTATGGGTCGACAGCCACGCCCGAGTCCTCGAACTGGCCTTCTTCACTTCAGGACCCGGTCATAGGTGATCCCCTTCACCGTCCCCCCGCCCATCGCCGTCCTGACGTTCCTCTTGAACCCGTCCCTGTTCAGCCTCAGATCCTCCGCCGCCTCCTTGTTCAGCGGGTCGGACGCGTTCGGCTCAAGGAAGAGGAACTTGACAAAAAAACGAGTTAGCTTTAACACCTCCCTCACCCTAGACAGGTACTATAAGGGATCAACCGGCCGGCCGGCGGACCGACCGACCGAACACAATGTATGACCGGGATCCTCAACGTACCTGCAACCCGACGATAACTGCATTCAGATTCAAAACGGGCTTCCAGTCCTCCCTTAGGATATTAAGACAGACCTTCCCCTCGAGGTCGATGTTCGGGTGGTAGATCTTTTCCCGGCACTGGACCTTGGGCGGCTCGTGCGGGAAGTTCTGGTTGACGGCGAAGGTGAAGGTGAACTGCCCGCCCCGGTAGAGGCCCTCGTCGGGGTCTATTGTGAGGATGAAGTTGAGGATGTCGTCTGGGTCGGGGAAGTCCGTCTTCATTGTCGAGCCGAGGGAGAGTTCGGAGAGGTCTGTGTCGGGCGAGGGACTCGCGTGTTAGCTCGAGGTCGTGTAGTAGAAGCGGTCGAGGAGGGTCGAGTGGGGGGTGGGGGGACGAGTTCCGGGAGGAGTATTAGAGAGAGAGGGACGGGGGAGGACGGGGGGGATCTGGTGCAGCGATCGTGGTCGTGGTCGTGGTCGTGGTCGGCAACTCACCCTTCTGTACACGTAGTTGGGCCGCCGTCACTTTCTTCTTCTTCCCTGCTTGCCCCTCGGCATTATCCGCCTTCTCCTGCTCCTTTTTCTGCAGTAGACACGACCATTAGTTGAATGTCCTTTCTCTCTCCTCATCCCTCTTGACAGATGCAACCCTCTTCCCCCTCTTATATCAATCCTTCCCCGCGCCGAGCTTCGCGGAGAGGGGAGGGAGGGGTAAGGCGGGGGGGGAGAGGGAAGGGGGGAAGTGGCGGCCGCTCGTACCATCGACCATATCTTCAACATGGTTGAAATATCCCCGTCTGCCCTCCCGTCTTAATATCGTGAGGTATTCGTCCCGGAGCCTCTCCCAATAGAGGTGTCGCTAGGCCAAGATCTGATCGCGTGTGGTAGGAGGGGAATGTTCGCCCGGCGCGGGAGAAAAAAAAAAGAGGGCGTGGATGCTCGGAAGTTAGGGAGGATTTGCTTCTCTCGAGCCGGGTGCAGGGCTGAAGCTGTACTGTATTGTATCGGGATTTATTAGGGTGCTAGACGGCGAATTTATGGGCAGCTGTTGAGAAAAATAGATTTGGCTCTTTGCTCCAGTTCGAGTTGGTTCGCGAAGTTCCAAGTTAGGCTGAAGCCAAGGCAGGGCCCGCCCACTGGGATTAGTTCAAAGGGCGGAGTAATACTCGTACATTCCATGGTAGCGCCCTCCTCCCGCACCTCCAAGTCCCCTCCCCTCCCCTCTGATAAGATAAGTGACGACCCCCACCACGGCCCGACTCGCCACAAAACTTGACTTGTATAAACTTGTATTGTATGCTTACGAGTAGGCTTACGCGATATTACTAGGTAGTTGGCACCCACTCAACCAACTCACCTCGCTCACCCATGCTTTGAAATGCATTATTACTTGTAGGTGCACGAGGGATATTGTTACTTAACTCCACAGCTAGTGTTTATTCTCTTATCCGGTCCATACATAAAACCTGGCAGGCCGCACCTTGCCTTTGTACTTATATGCCAGATGTGGCTACATGTAGTAGTCGCTTCTTCCCCGTGGCATGGCGACTGGAAAAGTCGAGAACTAGTACCAATACCCCAAGGCTTCATCCACGTCCTTGAGATACAAAAAAGAAGAAGAAAAAAAGTGAAGCGAAGATCAGCAGCGCCTTGCCTCTGTCGCCGTCCAAATCCAACTAAGATACACCATCCATAGTATACACCTAACAATAGCCGACAGTAAGAGAGAGATCGACCGGAGTCGGAAAAGAGAGCGAAAGAGGATATAAAAGGATAAAAATGATCGACGAGAACGGTAGCTCCCTTTCCGACGGTCCAGAAAGGCTTATGAGTAAAGACACGAAAGAAAGGAGTGGTGGCAAAACAAAAACTGGCAGCGAACACAGATGACACCGCCGAGGCTCACCCG